CTAAGCTAAAAAGTTCAATCAGCAAAATGACAGCTAAAACCAACAAAGAACAAAACAATAAAAAAGGAGTAAAATAAAAAAGCTAAAAGTGGCAAAACACCAACAGAAGCATCAAAACGTAGAATCACAAAGCAATAAAATGTTAGCAAAATACTAAAAACCAAAAGCTTAGCAAAAAAAAAAAAAAAAAAAAAAAAAAAAAAAAAAAAAAAGCAAAAGACAAAAAGAGCTACCCAAAAGCTTAAAGAATAACATTAGCAAAATGCAGCAACTGGTTAGCTAAAAGCCTAAAATAGCCAAACATTAGCAAAGAGCTGCAAGATGTCAGCTAAAACCCAGTCAGAAAATGTTAGCTAAGATAGAAACTAGTTACAAACCAAAAGTAGCAAAACCCTTGCTAAAAGTAGCAAAATGCTAACCAAAAGCAATAAATCAGTGGCTTAAACTAGCAAAAAACAGTTAGTAAGAAAGAGTAACCAAAAGCAGTCAACGATTAGCTAAAAGTAGCAAAATGCTAGTAAAAATAACTAAAATGCTAGGTAAATTATGAGTTTTAAAGTACTAGCAAAAAGCTAAAAACTAATACAGCAAAAAACTAACTAAAAGCTAAAAACAGCAAACTGCTACTTTCATTATTTTGCTAATTATTTAAACCTTTACACTGCTGTCAGTTTTATCTCACCTGGTTATTTTGGCAGGCTGCACAGGAAGTGCTACAGCTTGCTGTTGCTGCTCCCATAGATTTCCATGTGGATAATCCTGTAATGTGAAGCAGAAGCTTTTTAAATTGGTTTTAACATGAACCAGGATAAAGTTTTTGAGAATGAGGTGGTTGTGTTCAAACTAGCCATTAGCTTCGTTCAGACTTAAACCAGCTTAAGGTTGTTCAAGGAGTGATCTACAACAGGTAAGATATTTATTGTTTATATGTTTTRCACAGCAGTTTACTTTAAAAGTCAGAAATCTCTTGAAGTTATTGTTGAATCACAACAATCGGATTGAGTTTTTTTTAAACCTGTGAGCAGAATCGTAAGAAGCCACAGAACCTTTAAACTTCTGTTGATCTGCTTCTTCAGTGACCTCCTTTAATCTCACAGCCTTATCTCATGTTTACCAATGATTTTTTTTCCTCCCACATCAAACGTGGACATAATGAACACGGCACATCAGCGCGGCGATCCATTTTTCACACTTGGAGCAACAAAACCTCCTGCGAGAACAGCTGTAGACGGCYCCGCTATCATTGATCTTACGAGGCGTAGCTGGAGCTCCCAGCTCGCCGGGTTGTTGATGTTCCTGCGATCTCTCCACACCGCTGAGCCTCGCTCCCCCACCCGCGGGGCTGAGGAATCACCTGCTCCGACGAAACCAACACCTAATCACTTATCCCCACCTGTCACGCCGAGACCTCTGAGGCTCTTCGCCTCCTTTGGACCGTCCTGGGCATCGGTTTTCTGGGATGGCTTTCGAACCATGCGAGGCCTTCTAAGGAATGTTTACCTCTCACTGTATGGAGGAAACAAACACGCTAAATGTTCTAAGCTTTAGAGAAAACATTCCTGCTTTTAGACTCGCATCCTGAAACGACCTGAGTTAAAAACAAGGTTTTAAGAGACGTTTTTTTCTGCCTCCAGCTACAGAATATTGCTCTGCTGTCGCTGTAAACAATGTTTTATTTAAAGTTTTTATAATCTTCAAATATGTGGCTCATTTTTATTTGTATCTGTGAGTTTCTTCAATTGTAAATGTCTTTTCTTATGTTATTTTTCAAGGTCTGAACAAAACAAGTAATTTCTCAACATAGAATAAAAACAGGCCATATGCATTCCTTATAGACATGCTGGGCCTTAAATGAACTCTTATTCAAAGGAAACTCTAGTTCTCTGAGCTCTATCAAGGTTGAAAGTTAATTCTGGACAATATCTGAGGTTCAGCTCTTCTACATGAAACTGGAGCACATTGACAGAGAGAACGCCTGTAACTGAAATGATGGAGTACAACAGAGTTGCTTCATGGAAGGAGAGAACCTCAGGTTTAGCCTGTTAGCTTTAGGGTTGGCTCCAGAGCTAATATGCAGTAGCATGGGAGCTAAAATTAATTATTGCAATTAGCATGGGAGTAGGCCTGTCACGATAACAAATTTTGCTGGGCGATTAATTGTCTCAAAATTTATTGCGATAAACGATAATGTTGCCTGGTGACCGTTTTACAACTAATAATTATAAAAGCATAATGTGTAAGTGTAATAAATC